ATCTTCTGTAAAAGTGAAATGTAATAAGCCTTGAGACAGTTCAATAATAATACTTAAAAAAGAAAGTTACAACAATTGTAAAGTGCTAGTATCTAAATCCAGATATTGTTTTCTTTTTATTGAAAGAGCTTTTTCTAGAGTGAATTCTGATGGGTAAATTCAGTTGTTTTAAAAAAACTATGATAAATAGGTATAGGAAAGTCATATTTACAAGTGCAACTGACATGCAGAGCTTTACTGTATTCTTTCTTACTAAGATCTGTAGTGTATGCAAATTTAAATAAATATAAGTCTGCAACTTGTGGGCCGAAGTTACCTCCCATTGGAATTCCTTGTATTTGTTGGAAGACATGTTGGCAAAATTGCACAAATGTGTTTTCAAGTACAAATTACATGACCTGTAAGATTTCATTTAATTTCTATGAAATGTAACAGATCACAACTGGCAAAGATATACATTAATATTCCTTTATCATTGCTTCTATTTTAAAATCCAGGTATGTATAAATTATTAAGTTCACTTAGAAAGTTTGCATTTTTAATATTATTGTTGTGAGATTTTTAACACAATCTTAATTCCTGCCATCAACATTCCACTATAAATAAGTTGCAAAACTATTAAGGATCCTGAGGGACAGTTGTAGTTGGTAAATATTCTGCATTCACTGTGTTTCATATAAACCATAATAGTAAAATTGTTCTTGAGTACATACACATTAGTTAAACATTTTAGGTGAAACGTTTGTAAATGCAAGTTGTATCTTATTTAATATAACTCGAAAAGAAAAGTAACCAAAGCTCTGAATGTCATGCAAGTAGCTTGTGATAAGTGTGAGATAATTACAGCTAAATTTTAGCCTCATTTTGGATTTTGATTGGTTTAAAATGAAATGAATGTAGTAATGTTAATTAAATACAACTTATGTGTCAGAAAGACACTTTCAGTAAAATATGGGTCTGCTTATGGAACTTGTTAATTCTTGCACAACAGGCAATATTGCATTCATGCCTCCAATGAGCAGGACAGGTGTTATTTCTCTAGAACAACAAATGAAAAAAGGCTTTCTTTAAAATCACTGGAAAAATCTTTTTCTGGTCCTGATGTTTTATTTTTATTCTATCATCCATTCTTCTTACTATCAAGGGATCAGTATCTGCATGATTCAATTCATTTCCAATATTTTTTTAAACATTCTTTAGAGACAAGAATATTACTAATATATTATAAAAAATAAGAGATAATTTAAAAACTATCTTCAGCATAATACTTGTTGCTGATATCTTTGTAGGGCTCAACTCCCATTTTCACATTTTGCTTATCTTTAACATAGTTGTCACCTATTTAGTTTTCATAAGCCCATTTTGATTTTCTAATTAATATTTTAAAATCAGATCTGTAGTCTTCCTATAGTTCTTTATATCTTCCATTGTATCTGTCAATTTGAACATAAATGTTTTTCATTTATACCTTATTTTCTTTGTCTTTACTCATCCTTCTGATATTTTCTGTTATCCCTTTCCTCTTTTTAGGAATTTGGCCTATATTTAATCAAAAAGAAATTTATCAATTATGTATATTCCCAAAATCTTTCTCATATCACCTTTCAACTCAGTGTCCTATTTAACTAATGCTAAATCTTGTCTTATGATTTCAAAATTGGTTTTTGAAAATTATACATTAAAATTTCATTTTGTCTGTGCATAGCAAAACATCAAACCAAACTGTGCAATGATCACTCTTCCTCAAAAAAAGCTCCCCATTTCGACTACACCCTCAATAATGGGTAATGATTAACCTAAAATGAAATCATGCCTTGTTGGCTATGGGTCCACAGGGGTGTAGAATTTTTGAAGAAAACAAAAAAAATACTTCTTTTCTAAAGGATGAAATGTTAGAAAAATCTACTTACCCCTTTTAGAAAACAGAAAAGGTTGAATATAACTTAGAATTTTGTTTTTATGTAACATTGAACAGTAAAAAAAATTCTGGGATTCACAAATTAAAAAAAATTTGAAATAAAATATACTGATGACACAATTGTTTGCATAGTTTCTATAAATATAAGTCAGTGATGTTTAAAGTGTTTTTGAAAATTAATAAGATGCAAAAACCCACATGGATCCTTTTTTGCTATATTCCCTGTCATTTGCAAGTTGTTAGGTTTTTTTATAGTGTGAAATGGATAAACCAGATGTATGTAAGTATTGATGTATGTGTAGGGCTTAGATATAAAATCTATAAAAGGGGTTATTTATTAAATAAACAGTCACAAACTATTTAATGAAAACTTAAAAAATCTAAATTTATTATTTCACATTTTGCAAAATCTATTTTAACTTTGGATATAATACTTTATATCTATGGATCTTTTTAGTTATCATGCTGCATATCCATCAATGTAATGCCATTTGTAGCTCATTTTTGTCACAAGTGTTGTTGTGTTTGTAGTTTAAATAATGGCAAAACTTGTTCTTTCTCGGACAAATCTTGTTGTCTGTGGTGATAGGCAATATGCTTTCCATACCCCTAGGCCATTTGGTATGGAAAACCATCTTGAATCACATCAAGAAACCACTCTCCCTCACTAGTTGACCCCATACAATCCCATTCAGTGTGTGTAAAATTTCTCTCCAATAATCAATGCATTAGTAACAACCCTGATCTTGATATACAAGTTCTCATTGACATCATCTGTCTGATTAGATGGTTTGTAACAATTGCCCATTAAAAACTTTCTACATTTGAAACTCCTGATTCTAACACATTTAGGCTTAACCATTTGACTACCATTTATTTGTCTTGAGTCCCACCTGGCTGCATTTTCATCCCTTGTATAAAGAGCCACCATACTTCTCTTTTAAAAAGTCTGTCATTATTAAATAACTCAGGAATTTGAAATAATTCCTATTACCAGTGTTCTTGAAATCTAATGAAATTTTATTAATTCCCATTATATCAGTCTTCCATTTTAACTAGAGCCCTGAACTTGTCCATTTTGTTTCTGATATTCCTAACATTAGGTTGATAACAAGTAGGCTTATTGAATTTACTATGTTTATCTTGAAATCAAACAAAGTTATCATTAAAACTATTATTTATGTTTTGCAGTAAGTCTTTTTTTTTTCAGTCTCTTCTTTGTCCTAGCTATCTTTTCAATTTGTTTATTCTTGGTTCATGGGCATGCGCAGACATTTTTCTGGGGGAGGGGCAAAAAGATGATGGACCTGCCTCCAAAATTTTACCATTACAGTCAAGAGAATAGGCAAGCTCCCACAGTCTGATGTGATGGGTTTAATACTTGTAAGGTTAGTTTAAGCCATACTGCAAACTTGTAAATATATATACTTCATAATAGTAAATTTTGGTTGACCGTGACCATGCTCTCTCATGAGATGTCTGTAAGATTGTGTCAGTCGTTTTTGATACCTGCTGCCAGTATTACTGGCAGGTGGCAACAGGTGATAATACTGTGTCAGGTCTCAGGGGATATCGACAAGACTGCGTCAGTCTGTTTGATGACTTGAGTGAGAATTGCCATGTTCAATATCCAAGAAACTGCCATGGTAACAATGTTTTAAAGAAACAATTATGGTTCTCATTTTCCATAGAGGGAAGTACCCCCTTGTCTCCCTGCAGACATCCATGTCTTGATTTCCCACACCACTTTACAAGTTTTGTTTAAACTCATTAATAGATATCTTTAGATATTTCCTAAATGCTACAAACTAGCCTGCTTAAATGGAATCCATTTGTAGCATTTTATCCAGCCTGAAAACTACTGTACATGTTCAACCAGCCTACCTGTTGCTCTAAGCATATCTCTAACAAATTTGCATTTAAGCCTTGAATCCTGTAAAGTAATTTGTTCCACATTTAGACTCCCAGAAGAGCCACACATGTGTATCTATCCCCAACTTCTGCATGTGTTCTTTATACCTTTTAAGCTGCTCCTAATATGATATTTTACTGTCTTATTGCACAACCTTTCCCATAGCTATCTAATTTATCTTCAAGTAAGCAAGCTCTGCAAGCATAGTGTAGTATATCTTTCTGAATCTTCTGAAAGTTGCATTTGCCCACAATTCTCAAATATAACCCATTCCTAGCATCTATCATATCTTATAAATTGCACCTCACTTATTCCTGAACTATGTTTAACCATATTGAAATTTTACTTTTTATTCTCTGTTACCAACCTACCCATTCAGTAACTTTATATTTAAACAAAATTAATCTATTTCATAGTTCATAGATTAACACTGAATTTCCCTATTAACTAATAATGTACAGTATTGGTTATTTGGGTTGGTGGTAGGTTCTGAAGTCGAGGGTCTCAGGTTCAATTCCCATTGCCACCAGAATTGTTTGCCCTATTTCTCTTATGACAGAGCTATTAAGGTTGTCTATCACTGTCACTAATTAGAGGGAAGGCAAATGCATAGCAGCACCTGCTGTCATCCTTCTTTCTGAACTGCTGACTAGACAGAAGGCAGTTGTTTGGCATTTTTCTTTTTTTTGAACTGATGAATTAAGGGAAAGCAACTGGTTACCAGCTCCTGCCACCTTCAACTGCAGATTAGAGTGGCAACAAGAGGTTTATCACCACCTACTTAATATTTTAATTATTTGAAGTGCTGACTAGAAGGTGCTAGAAGAATCAATGAATGGGAAAGGAGGAAGAGGCAGACCAAGAAAATTGTGGATGGATAACATCAGAGATTAGATGGGAACATCATAATTAATAACTATGTTAGAATGGCAAAAAGAAGAGAACAATGGCACTCCATGACAGTCAACCTGCTTTGAGCAGATGACACATGATAAGAATGATGGTTAGAGGGAAGGTAATTGTGAGGCAGCATCAACCACCAATCCTTATTCTGTTTCTTTATATACTATGGTTTGAGTGACATGTTACAAATCAATTAAATGAATGTAACTGATTAACAAATACCACTAATTGCCAAGCTGTAAAGAGGATACTCCACTGATGAAACTTTCCCATCTATACAGGATCCATGTGAATTGGAGGAAGTGCAATATTTTGGCAGTCTTTTAAATAAGAGGTATTGTAGTATTTATGTAATTCTTGCTGTTTCATTCTGTACGTTACTACAGCCTTCACACTGAAGACCTAGTGTAAAGAGTTCTGCCACTTACAGCTTTACATTATGACTAATCTTTTTCCTTTTTATTTAAGGGTTGACAGTTGATATTGGATTAGAAGTTGAAAAATTTGATGTATGTATTACTAGAAACAAATGACTAGTATGGACTTATAGTGTTGTGTCTGTGGTATGTACTGTTTCATGCTAACAATTCCAAAACAAAATTTTGCTTCTTTGTTTTTGGTAAAGTCAACAAACTTTCCAATGTTTTAGCTTGAATGGTAAAGAAGGGTTTCTCCATTATGGATACATCCCAAGTTTGCTAATTCTTCATTTTCCCTAACATTTTCTGACTTTGGCATGTAAGCAGGTCTACTACAAGATTTTGACTTTCTAACACTAAAAATGTTTTAAATTCATTAGGATACACATTCTTTTGCATTATTAATGACTAAAAAACTCATTTGTGCCCTGCTTCATTTATTGGAAGAAAATTATTTCTAATACTACATTCTGATATATTCATAAATACATAGGATCAAAGGAAGGTAAATTATATTAAAAAAAACCAATAACAAAATCCTAGTACTTTATCAACTGCTAATTAAATTACTGAACTTACAGTTTGGAGCACTTACTGCTTTTGCCTGTTATATTTAAGACGTGACCATTCCTGTAGGTCGAGGCTTAGGGGTGGTAGTAGAATATGGGATAGCCAAAATGGGTCAAATGTCCCTTATTTTTACCTTTGAAATGAACTAAGATCCAGAGCTTTCTTAACTAGTGTGGAATAATCAAACTACTAAGGTGCATATGTAGGAGGAAAAATCTCTCTTAGTAATATACAATGTAAAAATAGTCTAAGTTCATATATTTAATAGGGTTTATCTCTCTCACCAGAAATTAAGGTAGAATGCAAGATATTAGGTGCAAGTAAGTTTTTAATATTGTTTATAATGATTAAACTAATTCAAGCCATGTTTTTGCTTCTCATCAACATAATAATACAACATAGTGACATTTTACAGTAATATAGAACCTGCACACCTCTATTAAAAGGCTAGACTGTGACAGGAAAATGTCAAACTACTGGTTATTGGTTAGATTTAAATGACCCTTTAAATTAGAAGTTTCTGATGGTTACTTCCATTTTCTTAAGTATATAGTTAAGTATTTTTCTAGGAAATTTATAAAAAATATTTGCTAGTAGTCAAATAATGAACTGTAAATTGATCAGCTTACCAGCCATACTGTTGACCAGAAAATGGATATATTTTTCTGCTTATTAAGCCTCACATCATCTTTCATTGTCTTCTCTATGGTTATGAGTAATTTTTAAGAATTATATTGATCTTTATCAATCCTAAGAAATTATGATGCATATCCAGTGAAAGATTGTACATTTAAAACATTAAACTGAGTGACAGACATTTGTAATCACTATCATATACAGTAACTGGCCAGTATCTTTGACATTTATGAGTTAGCAGTAAATCCTTGGAGTCAATATTGTAGTTAACTCAGTTAGGGGTAAAGGGAGTTGGCAAGACTAATCATTGTTATTGTAAACAAAAATAGGGTTAAAAGTTTCTTAAGTATTCTGAGTGCCTATAGACAGGTTTGAAGCAATTCAACATTGCTGTATGAGAACTTTCCACTTAACATACTGTATACGTCTATTTCATTTTCAGGTGTATAGAATAAATATTACAAAATTATACAGACAGTAGAGGAATAATAGGATAACCATTAAATCTTACATGTTGTATCAGTACAACATTTCTGCACATAATCTCAAAATACAACAGAACATAATCATTCTTACTATGTGTGATGAACATTCTCATATAAACAGTTTTTTAAATAGTTTGTATAATTCATGTTTAGCTTTTAAGGTTATATAAGATTATATTTACATATATAAACCTTTTGTGTGATGTGATTAATATACTGTTTGTTATCTAATGTAGTAATACAGCATGTCAATCATCTTAGAAGTATGAGTAATATACCATACAGCTCTCCTGCATGAGTTGCTTAGATATAAAAACTTAACATTCATGGTTAAGTGATCAAGACTATATTCCTTGCTAATGTAGCAACCTCTTCTCTTTTTTTTTGTTTTTATTCTTGATTAAACTGAATTTTACTTTATATTTAGAAAACTTTTCACGTCAGATATACTAAGATAGGTCTAACTTAAAAGGAAAAGTTTGTAATATTATTATTATGTACTGGTCATTAAATATGACATTTTAGGAATTCACAGATGTCTGACAGACTTAATATGGAATGGGAAATAGCTAATGTACTTAAAAGTTAAATAATGAAACTAGTAAAGTGTTTTTGAGTTCCCAAGGTCACTGGAACAACTTGCTGATTTTCACAACATAAAGTTGATAAGTTACATGTGAAGATATTCACAATTCCAGCTATGGCTATCCTTTGTTATTGAAGTGAACCTGTAATAAAATTTTAGCCTTACACAAATGTAGGCACTATGTCAACACCAATACACAGACTACTTACTGATTCTTTGACTGAAATTACCCTTACAGTAACTTTTAGTTCTTTAGTCATCAACACCCATAAATCTAATATAGGTAATTTAACAGCATATTATGAGAAATTCTTTAATAACTTCAAATAACTTATTATCAATTTATCATTCCTTTTTTTTTTAAATACTAGCGTAACTAAAACCAGAAATATGTAAGCTAAACTTTTAATAAATAGTTTCAGAGAATAATAAAAGTATTTATGTTAGGACTTAAAGTACATCAAGAAACAATTACTGGAAAACATGACATGTTGATAAATATATGTATGAATTTTGTTTGTTTTAAAATATATGGTTTATATTTAGTATTTGAAACATTATTAAGATATTTTGAATTCACAGTCAAAAGGAGAGTTATAATATTGGTATGGGCATTTTATATTTAGTTTCCTACTTGCATTCTCAGGTAAGAGAAAGAAAATTGGTTTGTTAATACACAACTGTATTGTTACAAGTGGTCAGTTTTCCTACTGGAGAAATATTACAAGGAAAATTCTGTGATAAGTTTTTGGCCTTAATTTACTTTATTTCAGTGATTGTATGTGTACAACAGCTCAGTTATTTGTAAGGCAAGCTCATACTAAGAGTTTGAATAATGAAACCCTGTGGTAAATGCCTGATCCAAGGTGACCTGGTTAGGCAGAGTTAATATTATGGGCTAAAATGTAGATGTGCTTTAATATGATAGTCGTCACATAATTTTAAAATGCATGTAGGTTTGTTAGTAGTGTGAGGAAAAGAAGAATTTTAAATTTATTGTGAAAAGGAGCTTAAAGCCATTTGCTAAGTGTATGACCAATAAGAAAAGCAAACATTGCTTTATGTAGTATCTAATTTTACTAATGTTTTGAATCTGACAACTTGGGCGGATTTCAGAGTAGTATAAACAGTTGTAGGTTTTTTTAAATGGGAAAGATATCATACAAACATAGTAGAGTAAACAAGAAAGAATTTACTCCTGTTTGAATAACCTTACCTATAAATGTAGACTGCATAATTCCAAATTTGTTTACTGGAAGACATGGTACTGTGGAATTCAGGAAACTACAGAACATAATGAACAGCATGCATAACAGCTACAGAACCAAGAAATGACATGGGTGAACAAATACTTGATAAATTATAGCACAAGAAATATGGAATAATAACATTACAGTCACACTTGAAATTTTTACATTTGTATATAATATGTTAGAAGCTAATTAGAAATTTTCCTGTTCACTGCTGCTGCCTCTGAAAATGGAAGTTTTTACTGGTTAAATTAATAAGGACATTTTACTATGAATGTAATAGTATTACATGTACACTTCACAAAACAAAGGATAGTCAGAGTGTGTAATATAGCTGTGACAAGGCAAATCCTTAGTTGTAAAATAATAATATTCACCCTCACTTTTCATTTTTACAAATATCAGACAATTGATCAGTCATATTTTTTGAAATGCAATCATTTTGTCATCCAGCCTATACTGTGTAGAATGGTCTTACAGAATCTTGTTTTGTTTGTCACCTGAACTAAATCACAGTATTTAAAGTGCTTTAAGTTGGTCTTGAATCATGTAGAGATCTCAAAGAAGAGATGGTTTTTACTCATGTGACAAGCCATCAGATGAATAGCAGCTTTTGCAAATTGTCTACAATACAAGTGTCTCAAAATATAGTTAGCACTATGTGGAACTGCTTTTTTTACACCAATGATACAGTTGTATAGATGACTAATGTAGTCCATCATCCAGAAAATGAACAGTTGACTGCTGTCTGGCAAATTCTGGCTCACTGTAATGGGTGGTTAGAAACATACTTTATAAAGCCAGCCTGTATGTTAGACACTCAGTGAGGTAAATTTTGTTTACAGCAGGGCACAAAACTGTTTTCCTGCAGTGGTGCTGAGAACACATCCAATAGACCATGTACGTAGTATTTATCCTATAGATAAGTAGAGCTGGTTGATTAGTGAAATTTGCTAATCTAATAACCATCAGGCTCATTAGTCAGCTACATTCAAGTAATAGATTATTCTCACATTAGACTTGGATAGTTGGAATAAGTGCAAATAAAATTAATTGAAAGCACTAATGTTGATTACTTATTTATTTTCATGAGTCATGACACTGATTAAGATGAACAACCTTGAATTAATTGAAAATAATGAGAAATTACAATGACAATTATTATCTGGATAGTTGGAATAAACAAAAATCAATAATAGTAAACACTAATTTTGATTAGTATATTGTTTTCATGACATTAACTTATTTAATTGCAATTTTTAATCAGTTATTTTTTGTTTCATTAATTAATGTAATCAGTGCTCATAGATAATCAGTTAATCATCTAGCTCTATAGATGAGCCACATTTCATCTTGGAGAGAATCTGGGTCTGGAACTAGATCTAACCTTGTTTTTATATGGTAGCATAATGCATGTGACAGTGGTGGAAGTTTGGCGTAAGCAGGGATAAGAATTGGTGGGTGCACTGATCTTTACATTATAAGAAGTGGAAGTATTGATGCAATGTATTACAGGAACCATATTCTTTGGCCCTTTTGTACTGCAACATGCTGGTGCAATTGAAAAAAAAATTGACAAATCGAGTGACCTACATGCTTATTGGAACTGATCCATTCAAGCATGTATGGAAAGATTGGTCAAGGATACCGAAGGACCTTATCAATTCTCAGACTTGAAGCACGTAAGACTGAAGTCAGACTGTCTTTTACCTTTATAGTGGCCATACTCATATTTAAATGATATACCATAAACTGTGTAGATGTAAAGATATATGATAAAGGTATATGACTAAGCATATTAATTTCAGAATACATGACATATCACATTTTATCTGATTTGCATAAAAATAAATTGAGGGGTGATTTAAATTTTAATTTTGTAAAGAGGATCTTGCCTTGTCATAGCTATATGAAATTTACTAATGTAAGTTATTAAAAGAAATAATTCAATTAGATCTTTAGAACTAAAAGTTATTAAAAAGTTTTGAATTAGTTGTTCTGAATGTTAGTTTGATAAGTATTTTAGTTCTTAAATGTTTTGAAATTATTGGTATATTGTGTCAAGAATTGAAGATTAGTGGCTTATCTTTAAATTGTAGATGCTTCAATTAGGACTTTATGCTTTTGTTGATATCACACTTTGTAAGCTTATTTAGCTTCAACATGAACTTTTCATATAATCTTTGTAGGGAAAAAAGCAGCAAGGGAAAACAGATGACAACAAGGTTTAAAGGTAATATGAATAATTATTGGAATAATTCTATAATATGCTTTTATACAAGAATTATACTATTTGTTAGAAATTGGTAAAAATCTTACTTTTTGTTGTGTAAAATCACAGACGTATATTATTATTCATTATGAAAAAACTATATACAAGTTTTAAGGTAAATAAGATTTAGAGAATAGTAAGAGTGTGAGTAGGTTTATTTTTTTTTTACCTTTAGAATAATTCAATAAAATGTTGTGAATTTGGTTTAAAATAATAAGTTATTTTAGTTCAAGGGGTGTTTTGAAATTATCGTTTTAAAATTTTATTGAAAATTTGTAGATTAACTTTTAGAATTCTTATTCTCTCATATTAGTGTTGAAACATATAGGCTTATTTAACTGCAGGTTGTGGCATTTGAATTTCTTATTTTTTGAAATCCTAATTCAGGGTTTGCACAGAACCTTAAAAAGAGTGAAAACCCTTAAATTTCAACCCTAGAAATCAAGAGTTTGAAATTTATTTTGTTGTGAACTCGTATTTCATGAAAAAAAAGCACAAGTCAAACCATTTCATTTTTTTCAGACCACCTAAGTAATTTTTACTTCATATATGATCTTTAATTTCTCTCTAAAGCATGGTATAACAGTAACTTTTTGCTCCTTTTTAAAGTAGTATATTTTAATGATCAAAATAAACAATGAAAGAAAATTATGCATCACTGTGAGTGTAATCTATTCTTTTGTTCCCCTTTAAATTAGTCCTTTCCTAATCAAAATAAATAATGAAAGAAAATCTTTGCATTACTGTCAGTATAAGCTATTCTTGTTCCCATATAACTCATTTCTATCTAACTGATGTGTATTTATCAATAAAATATCAAACACATCTGATGAAGAGATGGAAAAATTATACAATTTACATTACCACTAACTTTATAGCAATCATATCTATAATATCCTGAAACAGCTGTTAATTAGTCATTCA